CCGGGCAGGAGGGCAAACCGGGCAGGAGGGCAAACCGGGCAGGAGCGCAAACCGGGCAGGAGGGCCGGGAGAGCAAACCGGGCAGGAGGGCCGGGAGGGCAAACCGGGCAGGAGCGCAAACCGGGCCCTCGCTGCCCAGGCGGGCTGCATGGGCTTCCCTTCACGCCGCGCCCCAGATGCCCAGCTCTGCCGCAGAAGCCTGGTGCCACCTGCAAATACAAACCACTCTAATGAACTAAGGCTCCCGTCCCCCCCTGAGGATCGCAGTGCCCAGAGCACGGAGCAGAGGGACCCTCGTGGCACTGCCTGGCACACACTGACAACACCAGCAATGGGGATTCTGCCAGCATTGCAACCCCGCAGCATCCTCCACCTGTGCTACGGGGAACACTATTCCCATCCTCATCTTTCTGAAGATGCTGCTTCACCATCTTCCTATTTCCCACCCCTCCCATGCAGGTCACTGACACAGCCCCCAGAATCACACCCTGGGAAGCGATACTCTCAGCGTGCACGCAAACCAACAGATGAGAAAAAGCTACAGTCTTTTTCTAGGGACACAGTGATCAGAACAACCAACTCCAGGGGAAGGAAAACACACCTAACAGAGCTAATGAGATTACAACAGGCACCGTGAGTTCTTTGCCAGGACACTTGAAATCATGCCACATTTTTAATCCTTGCTACCAAGAGACAAACAACTACATCATTACTTGCAAGCACAGGTTAACAACTTCGTGTCTGTGTAGTAAACACAGATACTCATTTGCTTCAATTGCCTAAAGCTCTGAAGGTCGGGGTCATCCTGCACCAGCAGTCACTACTCCTCAGTGCTTGGGATATTGAATTCTTGGGTCTTGAAAACCTGTTCTGTAACAAATGTCCAGGCAAACCAGTTTGGTTCGTGCACTTGTGCCACGCTTCCCAGCCATGACAGATAGCACCTAGAGATCTGAAAGCAGAGGATGTGCTGCTGGGTCCACCAGATCCACCAGGCATCCCTGCAGCCCCGTGCAGGAATACCAGCACATCAGAGCGCTTTTGGAAGCCCCAGCACATCTCCCAGCCTTCAGTCAAGGTGCACTGCAACTTGTCCTCTGCAGACAAGAGCTGGATCTGTGTCCTCCCACCTCACTCCTGCACTACACAAAGTGACCTGAGTTACTTTGTTAGGAGCATCTGTTCCCTGTGAGAGCCTCAGGACAGTGTGCTGCAATGCCAGCAAGAAGGGCTCTACTACAAAGCTGTGGAACAGCTCTAAGCAGGTTTTCTCCTGTTCATCAGCTTGGTAACCAATCCATACCAAGCATTGATTTTTCCAAACACCGAGAAGAGTTAGAGCAGCAAATTGATACATTTTATATGCTAAAGCCAATGCAAGTTAAAGGCCACCGCTTCCAAAGAAGATATTTCACTCTCATTACACAAGCAGCCACCCCTAACAAGAAATGAAAGAGAGATGAAGGCAGCAACCAAAATGAAAACAGATGAAAACTAACTTTTGTGCTCTCATGTACTCAGAGGAGAAATATTCCTGGTAAGGCTCCCCAAACTGTGTTTTACTCCCAGGTTTGTAATAAGTTCTGTTAGGATTTGGACAGTCACCCACTTGGAGAGAAATCCTGCTCCTGCTGAGGTCAGTGACACACTTGTGACTGCACTAACTGAGCCTGAATTCCACCCTTCCTTCTTCAGGCTGCCAGCCACAAAAAGAAAAGCATTACTCCAATGCCTCAAAGGTAAATCTTTGGAACACAAAGAAATACTATATGTGTATTTTGTAGAAACAGTTTGTTGTCTACCTGAAAACAGCCAGAAATGTCAGCTTTAAAAATAGCCTTTGAACAGAAATAAAGCCTGATGTCAGACCAGAGGTTTATCTTCAATATTCCCACTAAAAAAAGGAAGATGTTAACAGAGAATCATCCTTTTTTATCTGCATAAACTATTTTCCCATGACTTGGAAATTCTCTTGTGATACTCAGTCACTAAGGAGTCCCCAGTAAGCTCCACATGCTAGAAGATACACTGTCTGCAAAACCCAGCCGATAGGACTGTAACAAATCCAGTGGGAGAACCGTAGGGACAGGACAGGAAAAGGATTGAACTTTCTATTTTTCATTTCATTAAAACTGATTTAGGGGTTGACAGTTTCTAGACCCCACCTAGCAGAGCAGTCAGTACTAAAGATTCTTGTGATCCACAGGTGGATTTTAAAGTTCACTTTTTGAAATTTGGAAGCATTTGCCACTTGTCTTGAGAATATTGCAACATTGGTTAGGCCAAGGCAGAACCTTGCCTTCACTGAATATCAAGATATAAGGATTGAAAGCAAATTAAACAGTGATTCTCAGAAGAGACAGTAGAGAGAAATAACACTGAGAAGTCATTCCTTAGAAGGGTAACAGAGATGACTTAGTTGTCTCCTGAGCTGGGTCAATGAAAATGATTAAGAAACAGCCTCACAAATCAATGGAAAGGTTATCTGGAAATGTCCAAGAAAGTGAATCTGACGGAGAAGAGACTCCTGTTACTGCCCCTTATTACTATAAAGAAATGTGCAGACAGATGAACAATGTGTTTCCCCCCTCAGTACAGTCTCTGACACAAAAATGAGGTAACTGCCTGCACTGAGAATCGCCCCCAAAGAGGCACAGTTTCCACTGATCCTGCACCTGGCTTTGCTGGCCATCCCTGTTCATCAAATCCACACAGGGCTCTCAAAGAGCTGGGCAGGCAAGGAGCGCAGCACTGAAGGAGAAGATGGCAGGGAAGAATGCTATTTTTATGCGTAGAGAAAGTAGAAGCTGAAAACACCAGTCTCAGTGACATGAGAACTGTCAGCAAGAACAGATAATTACACAACGTGAATTCATCCTCATGACAATGACTCTAATGAGATAGGAAATGGAATAAAATCAATATTCTATTTACACTGACAGGGCAGTCTCAAAGCCTGAAATTGCCAAATGGCTGTCTTTTAAATCAAGGAACACAAAATTACTGACTCCTTACAGTATTTTCAAAACACCTCTGCCAAACTCAAAGTTTACCAATAACATATCTCAATATAAAATTTGGAACATATACAGCAATTACTCCACGGCACAATTGAGGGATATAATTATAGCACTGTCACAAAATTAAGCTGAAACAATGAGCTAATTAGCATCTTGTCACATAACAGCATAGGATTGGATAAAGGAAAATATTCTTCAGTAAACCACAGCTGAAAAACCCAATTGTCTCACACTCTGGGCTGCTCCCATAGGACAGCACAGAAAAGCAAGATGATTCCTCTTACAATTTTGTACTTTTGTATATTTTGAGAAAAAATGGGAGTGCAAAGGCAGGAGCAGAAAGCAGCCAGCTCTAGAGCAGGGTCTGTAGGCTGGGCTGGATTTCACAGCTCCCCAGCCCAGCAACCTGGGCCTGGGAGGCTGCTAAAACTGCAAGCACATGTTAGCTTCAACTACTAAGTGCCACACCAGATTAGTAAAAAAACTGCTAACACTGCTTCTGTGATGCACATATTTTGCATGACATACATAGTTTTAGTACTACTACTAGTAGTAATGTTTTAAAGGCTTTTTCTGTACTGTTTTAGCTCTGACAGACTTTCCTGGTGCAACCTCCCACTGACTTCAGTGGCTCCTCCAGCACGTCCCCATCAGATGTAGTTTAATCTTGAGTCTATTTCACAGTTTCTGAAACTGTTTTAGCAGAACCACCTAACTGTGACATTCCATATGAATTTAACACACCCAAGTGTACTCAGTTCATGAAAACTTGATAAATAATGAAAAAACAGGCAGCATGTTGTACACTACATGCCCCAGCCACATGCAGAAATCGGGTATTGCCCCAAGATTTCCATCCCTAATCAAACTGCAAACCAATTCCCACCAGCAGCGCATGGGCACTGACAAATCCCACAGCTCAAGCCTCTCTTACTTTAGATTACAGTAATGCTATTTTCAAGTCAGAAAGCTACACTGCAAATTCCATAAACCCTCTTTCCTTTAAGGAGCAGACGGTTACGGATTAACTGCT